CTATCTTAGGCAGGAAGAGATTTATAGCAGCAGAGCTAAATCAACAAAACAGATGACTGATCTCATCCAGCAAAACGCCCTTTACCAAACGGCTAAAATACGACCCCCATGAATCAATGTGCACTGCTAAGCAGTAAGCAGCCTCGCTTCGCTCCCTTATGTGTGGAGTCGCTTTTCATTGAACCGACGATTCAACAGGGTCCCATATTTGAAAGTATATTGAGTAGCAGGAGCCTCAAATGCTCTGCTGTAAGGTGCTCATCTCCTAGCCATAACCAGAAGGTATATGGGGTGGGGCTTGATAACGATAGCAATGGATGGTGGTGCCATTCTGATCACAAGGAGCCAGCGAATCTAAGTTTTTTCATATTCGACAAATTGTCAAAAAACAGCTTCCCACGCTTAACGGAAATTGAGAGGAAAAAAAATCACTTTTGAAGCTTTTCGCTATGATTTCCCCTCTTCTGTATTTTTCACTTATAATATATCTCCATTGGTGATTAGTAACAAAATTGTTCACGGGCTCGTCAAACTGCTTATGCTTCTGAGCGCCGATCGACTTGGTAGGGGCATACTACTGATTTCCTACGATTACTGCCGATGCCTTCTGTGGAGACCTGTGAATTCGATCGGTGCATTAGCATAAACTTCGTTTACACTTGACAAGAGTCCACAGGTCTTACCAAGGTGAGACGTGTTGTTCAACCGGAGTAAAAGTAGAAAGTGCCTCCCCCAAGCCGAATACTACCGGGTTCTGCAGTTCCAAAGGACTCATAGGGAGGTGCATTGGCTATCTTTTTTCTTTCAGTCACGCCTGTGCAGTTTCAGGGAACACCAACTGCTGATGACTTCAAACAAATTTGAACTACATTGCCAGAGCCTACACAAGCCCTTTCTCATCGCTTATTTTCTAATTTTCATTCTTTCTCCTTCTTTTTCTAACTATTTCATATTTGTTATCGATTAATCAACTGGACTGTTCCATGCAAAAACTGTTTTGGAGAACGTGCCTATTTTTCAGAGCTATCAGTAGCGACCTCAGGTATTCGAAAGGAATAGAGCGATTGATCGACATTATAGGCACCGCTCATGAATCTTCAGTACTACTCCTAGATATCCTTATATCATCTGCCTCCGAATGTTGTGATGCGGCGAGCAACAAATGTGCAGCCGCATACAAAGCAAGCGCTCTCGCGTTTTTCACGGGTTCGACAGTCGTTCCGGAAAGGGGTTCGTTTTTTTCCTGCAAATAAAATACCACTGTTGAGCATATATGGATCGGAACAGGTAGTTAATGGCTCCGAGTATAATAAACTTCTCCGGAAGAGCTACTATTCACTTATAGACTAGACTTTCAGGGAACTTATCCTCTGAGATGATGAATTAGTGGTTCATTCGATCTTGGTCTCAAAGTTCAATGTTTCGTTCTCAAAGGTTTATTTGTAAGCGGACGACTCGCAGTCGAGCGTCATTCGACGAAAAACGATAGTAGAAATGACATTTGTTTTCCACGTCCCATCCATGTCGCTGCACTAAACCCTTTCCGAAAATGGGGCATTGCTCGCTAACTTTCGTAGGGATGATGTTGCCCAGTCTCACAAGGGATCAAAGACGATTTGAGAACGTTTCATGACGGTAAAAATAAACTTTATAATATTGTAAAATATAATTCCAGGTACAATATTGTAAAATATAATTCCAGGCACAATCGGTAGGCACCGCTTTGCGTGAGGACGTCAGGGAAGGACTCAAACGGGTTCGAAAAGTCCCAAGATGGGTACGGATACTGAAAACGGTACACTTCTCCTTCTTCTATACTTTAAGGAGCTTCCTGTTGTCGCAGCTAATTTAAGAGAAGCTCTTCTCGAGATTCGCTGACCACTCCTCAGCTTTGAGGAGTGGTCACCGGATCTCAAGGTGAGCTTTTCTTTTTTTTGTTTTTCTTTTGCTTCATACCATCATACCAAGAGGAGAGTAGTGTTTGGCGCAGAGTCCACCCTCAGCATGTAGAAAACGACGTCGCGTCAAACAGGGTCCTCCTAATAAGCCTCAGCATCCACAGAGAACAGACGGTGAGGTCAGAAAGCATGACATTTCAGATTTATCACGATTATGGTTTGAAACATGTGTGCTTGATATCAATTCTTATCATATATCAATTTATTGGCGCTGGTGTATTTTATTTTTGCGAGGCAGGTTTTGATGAATCGAAAGAGAAGATCTGGAATATCAGGTAATTTCTTGAAATCAACGAACAGCTTATGGTATAACTTTCTCGAAGTGGGTTCTTACTGGTGACAAACGACAAATCATTTCTCAAATAGGATAAGGCGCCACAGTGCAACCACGGCTCGTCAGAGAGAGTCAAAATGGTGAAAGGTGGAGGGACGAGGGGGGGGGGGTAGGGCAAAAATGGCTGCACATGAACTTCAAGAAGGAACAAAAAAATATTAGCCAATTATTTGTTTCTTCGATAAAACCTGCTGTAAGTTGCATTACAGAATAGCTGAGAATCGAACGAAGTTTGTCATTCGAATATTATCCGTTGATGTTCCAACAATACCGACTACCTGTTTTTCATCACGCAAGAGCAGACAAACGAGGTAAATTTGAATCCATTGAAGGATCGGGAAATCGCTGTAGGTTCTAAGCACATCCTTTTCTCACAAGGCACAGGAGCTTGTAGTACTTTCTTTCAAATGTATTATATACAGTCTGTATGTTGTTCTGCGAAGTGGAGGGTCAGCGGACTTCGTTGTCAGAGTAATAGCGGTATACAGGAGGGTGCATTATGCACCCACCCTCCCATCTCTGTCTGCACCTACCGTAACTGCTGTGGCGAAGGAGTCTGTGGGCAATCCTCTGCAACTGCTGAAGTTTTAAGTATACAGCCGTGGAAAAAAACTTGGAAGAAAGCAAAAAAAATCGGAATTCCCTGCCAAATTATTATTTGGCTTTGTTTGATTTGTGTACCGAAATATTGTGAATAGAGGTAAAGTGCTTGGAAGAACTATTTCAATTCACTCAAAACGACCTTGAGCAACACAGAGGTATGCTTCGCATGCCTGGAACGGGGTAGGCGTGGCATTTGAACATGGCATAGAACGGGTTACTTGTGGGATGTTTTGTTTTGAGACAACTGTCGTCTTGTTCTGTGTTGAACAAAGATATGACCCACATTTGTTCCAAAACGAAAATTTAAGAGGAAGCCAGAAGCCTAACCGCCGCCACGTTAAGTTGAAGTACGCACCACGTCCACCGCATCGCAGGGAATTCGAGTGTACGTGAAATCTAGGTTCGGCACCCAAGGCCAGCATCCGGATGAAGAATGACCGGTAGAGCCTCCACCTCAACCCCATGAGACATGTTTGAAATGATTCGAAGCATGAGTCAAAGGAAAGAAGACCACCAGCAGGAATGAGTAGCTACATGCATTTCAAGAGATTTGAAGTCGAGTATTCGTAGATACCCTCGGAGACGGTTGGTTCCAGGGGTGAATTAGGCTCTAATCAGGTCCAGTGGTAAGCAAACCAAATTCAGAGCGCTGAATAGTCTGTTTTGTTTAATTCTCGTTTGCTGTTCACCTTTGCATTGTACTGCTGTTGAAAAGGAGCTTCGGAATTGCTTAAAACGCAATTTTGTGGCTTATTCCGAGTTTTTTTGTCAGCTGTAAGTTGTTCTAACTGAATATTTACAACACTTCAAAGAAAATCATAAACCACTAGAGCCACAGGTGTCGGCCAAGCTTCATGCCGAAGTGAGACGGTACGAGAAGCAACTTGGCATCAAATACACGGATCAGAAGATCAAATGGGACTTTTGGAATGCTATGTTATATGCTCAGGTCAGTTAAAGAGAAATGAAAAACAGCCTTACTGCATATTTTTGGCCCTAAATGATAACTAAGGCGAACTGGCACTGGATGCTGTGAACCAATCATGCTCATTGAGCAGGATTTGATCGTGCGGAGCGTGCAGGCTAAGCAGACATACAGTCATGATCCTTCAAAAAAGACGGGGTGCGTGAAATAGTGCAGTCAGAATGGCCTTTTCTACCGATAATGCCATCCCAAGTCAATACAATTGGTGGAAAAGGCTGCCCTGGCTGCGCTCCTTTCTACGCCCCTTCACATGGCCCACCGTTTGCAATGAGCATGACCCTATATCCTCAACGCTGAATCAGCCGTGGCGATAAGTTCAGTATTTCCTTTCAGACTATTTGCACAACGATAGGATACGGTCACCTCTACCCTTCAACAGTATCTGGCCGAGTGTTCACCATGATCTATGCTATATTCGGCATTCCACTTGTATTGTCAATTCTCGACGACTTAGGTAAGTGCAGGTGCAAGACCTATAACAACAGGTCTAGAAGAACTGCGCGGTTCAATTTCTTCACATATTCCTGTTTACCTTATGTCAGCTGATTCAGCTGATTTGTCTCTTACCCTTTGTTTTACCTAATCTTGTCGCAATCTCAGTGTTTTCTAGTGAATGACATCTGCTCTGTTATCTGAAAACCACTGCCCATTTTCTAGATGTGATCCCCAATCTGCCACCGGCTGCTCCAATCCAAGTAGCGATCTTTCAGAGTTATAGATGATAGAATTGAAATCGAAACTGAAGCATTCTACGTTATGTGATCACTGTTTTTATACGACCTCAACGCAGAATCCGACAGGGATCATACGATGGCATCCCATACATTATAGTTTTTCAGCGCTAATCCCCTTGGGAGAGACGGGAGGGGCATTTTTCCGAATTTCTGTCAACAAATCGTGGCAATGTTATGAGGATTCGTAACGAAATGATACAAGCTTCATTCTGAGCAGCCACCTAGCACCGAGGGATTGACAGCAATAAACGGCCTTGGTTGTACACTTACCAGTGCGTGTGGAATTCGTAAGGCATTTGGTCTCCATTAGGCATCCCGAAAAAAGTCGTAGCCATCAAAGGCGCAGTTCGGCGGCGGAAGAGGGGGAAGCATTTCTGCACTTTCGCTGCTTTACTAGCCTCCGGTCTACAAGCCTCATTGCGGTGGAACCTGTGAACTCCTTTGAATCAAGAGCAAGTTCGCCTAGCCCCCATGGTCGAATCTGTCAACTCTCGTAAGCTCTCGAAGTGGCTCTCCAGGTGGGTCGACACGTCTATGAGAACTGGCAAAAGTGCAAATGCTCGTCCCCCCAGCGCCAAGCAGCCCCTCCCCTACACAACACTCTTTGCTACGTGACCACATAAAACGATCCCGCTTTCCTTTCGGAGCGTATCATATCGCTAGTATTACATATTCACATGTGGAGAAAATCTACAAAAATGTTCCCAAAAAAATTGTGCCAGTTTTTATTCTCCAAAATAAATACGGTACGCATTCGGCGAACAAATAGGCTTAAAAATTAGCAAAAAAAAAGAAATAAAAAAATCAAATGGCCTTGAAGATGGATAGCTTTTGAGCGCTTACAAAGAAGCCCAAACGAGCAGCGGCTATACAAAGCATAGTCGTGGCAGATGCGTCGAAGGATGTGCGCGTGTGCTCATCTGCAGGTACCATCCGATGGTGCAGATCTAAGTGATAGCAGTAGTAAATCCTAAGTTCGGTCTTTGAACTCAGATCGAGAAGAGTTCCATGGGAACAGCACTGTTGCACATAACGAAATTTTTCCTAGAGCGAGCACTGTAGGGTCGCTCTTCTAAAAAAAACGCAAATTACATTGATTGTCTTTGTTTTGCTGGAAACCTAATCGGAACCCGCGTAGTGATACTTCAAGGATTTCCGTCGCACTTTTTCAACTCCTAAGCGCCCGTTTTCAGCGTGTAGAGCCCATTGTCCTGTTTTTAGGTACAACATGCAGCAATTGATTGGCAGTGCTCACTTAACTGCCGGAGATGTCCCCATTTCCGACCTATCGGTCGTGTTATCTCGTCAAGCCGAGCCGCAGTGAGCGATGAACAGCCCGTCCGCATTTGCATAAGGGCATGCCCGAGTACGAGCATAGAAATAGTAGCAAAATATGAGACTCAGTAAACTCTGAGCTATGTGTTCAATGCTTATTCGCAATGAGAGCACGCGTATTCGGTTTGGTGCTACGTTTCACTGGACATCGACCCTCTAACAAATTACTGGATTACTCAAGCAGTTCTGACAATAGTGTCGGACTTTTGATTTCATCAATACCCACGAGGTATCATTTTATAACTGTACAACATTCACTGAGCCTGAGCTAGGTGAAGAGATGAGGAGTGAGCACCTAATCAGGGGAGACTGACGAAACTGGCGCACTAGCAAAATGCTCTCTATTTTTACGTGTGCTGTTCTCTCAAAAGGTTATGGATATGTATTTATTCAACGGCAGTTCTTTCTTTACCTTTAACGCACGGCCTACGATGAGAAGCGTCTGCGGTGGTTTCGAAATATGGAAGAGAAGTAAGTGACTCGTCTGTGAAGAGAGAATGCCAATGGGAACGAAGGCAAAGCCTTTCATAAGGGGCTCCTTGAGCCTTGAACAATCGTATGAGTAAAAGACCATAGGACCACGCGCTGGGACAAGATCAGTCTGCTGACGCCTTGTGATGAAACCCTGTAACCCCGTGACAGGCAGTAGAGCATCTTTTATGCTGATTGTTGCTTTGTTTGTCCGCGTGAGCACCGATTTTTCTGGAAGGTTGGCTTTTGAGGCGAAGTCCGTTGACAGACGTGTTCATTGGAGCAATTCCTTTCACCTTGAATTTCCGTTTGCGAGACTGATATGTGGCTGTCCACTGCGTGCAACATCACCCTTCTCACACAATCGTTGCATTTCGTAGTTCATCGCGGACCCTTCCTTTAAGGACGACATTTTCACAAAACGGTTTTCCGACCCTTATGACGACAGTGTAGTACAACACTAGCCCTGCTATCAACTGTGTATCGAGAGATAGCACCAGTACCACCAGGAATGTCCACATCTGGCTCAATGCTTCACAAGCACAACCACTAACCTTCATAACTCTGGTTACAGAAAATTGCTACGTAATGCTTTGCTCATACAGGTGATGCGCTGCACACGTCAATAGCTCATTTTCCACCCTAATCCTCACGAGTTTCTGATAGATCTGAGTAGCAAAAGCGAGGGAGGCGATCACTAGGATTCATATCATGCCCTGTGACGCCCTCGAGAAGAAGACCCGTCCACGTAAATTAAGTCGGACTATAGTGCTGTCTACACCTGCTCCTGCGGCAGAGATACACTGTTACTGCTTTTGTTTACGTCCCTTCCCTAGAAACTCGCCAAAATTGTTGGAGAAAAACGGCTATGAGAGGCTCTGAAGCACCCTCCCTGGTAACATTGGATTCCACATGGCTAAAGAGACGTTTAGAGAGCTAGACTGGTATACGGTACTCACCCAATACCGTCATTCTCCTGACGGAGCGCTTTCTGATTACCTCTCTTGTTCTACTTCCACAAAGACAATGTGTATACTCTTTTCCGTGTGTCCTGATCCTTGCCATGCGCTAGATGAATGGGTCCGCAGCTGCAGTAGCGTGTTGCTTCCTCCGTTCAGAGTGCATGGAGCGGGACTGAAGGGTAGTGATACCCGAGTGCCGTCTCCCGACTCCGCCCTCGCTGCGGTGCGACTGCCCACTCGCCGAACCATAGCTGAATGCGTTACTTTTTTGCACCCTCTTACTTCTGGTTGCTCCCTACCTCCGAGAGTGTGTTTCACTGCCGAATCTTGGTATCGACACAGTGCTGCACAATGGGGTTAGTGCAGGCGGAACGAGGACTGCACCCGGAAGTCACCACCATCCAGCCCCTTTCCCGTGTGCTTTTGAGCGGAGTATGTGGCTTTGCAGCAGGTGTGGGCCCCACTCATATTGCTTGGAAAGTGACTGTTCTCGAAGGTGAGCGTACATTTTCTGCAAGTCTTTTTTGGCCAACTCATCTTGCATTGTGGAGCATTAGTGTATCGTCGCCTAACTTTTCGAATCCCGGATCCTCCAAATTCAGGAGGATTTTGCAAGAGCATTGCTGACCTGCTTATCAGGAGGTGCTTGCTGTAACTAACCATTACGATTACATTCCTGAATGATTTCTGGTGTACGTTGGTTCCATATTAAGAAAAGAAAAACCACGATTCTATCAGAAACTCATTACCAAGCTGTTAAGCCACCTCTGAGCGACTCGGATACGGCCTACTCGTGTGAGAATCCTCCATCTCTTCGTTTTTGTTCTTGATATCGACTGTATTGCACTTTTTGCTTGTATAGACTAAGAAAATGGCGTCTGTAGAACAGGAATATCAGACCGTCTTCTTTGTCATAGTTGGTCGAGCTTTCAGTACGCTGAGTAAAGACAGCCCCCGCGCTCAAGTAGTACATGGTCGTCCTTCCTTGTGCAGGTAGTTCAGCCCCCAAGCTAGATACTGTCCCACTCTCGCGACTCCTCAGCGAGCGAGGAGCGAGCTACAACCGCTCAAAGTTCTAGTTCTAACGCCTGCTCAGTTGGACCGCCTCACTTGCTAGCTGCCCTCTGACGGAGAGCCGCTCAGTTGTTCTTTGTTGGGACGGCGGGCATTAATCGGAACTGCATGTACTTTTTGCTGACCGCGCTCGTGCCCATAAATAATTCTGCTCTCCTTCATCACATTTTATTCATTGGGAGCACATACAGTCAACTGCAACCCATCTCGTAAGGTAAAACGCGTAAAAATCACGAATGATGCAATTTCTGTGGTGCAAAAGCTCGACGCACTTCACTACAAATACGCACGCTACCGTAACCCTAAGTTCGGACGCCGGCTTTTTAAATGTTTCCTTTTCTTTTCAAGAGTTTTTCCTCTATGTTTCTGTTGTTTTTTGTTTTCTTTTCTTCGCATTCGATGATATCCACTACTGGGAGATGTGACAAAGTGATTTGTGAGCCAGGGCTTGCACAGAGACAGCAATGCATTGTGACTGTCAGTGTTGCGGCATTAATCCGCGACTAGGAAGACTCATCTACGATAATGATACCATCTTTCACATCTGTTGTAACGATATCGTTCTCTTGTTTGATATACGTTGCATTGTTTCTTGACGTGGAGAAGTGTCTGGTTCAGTTACTCTAGTTGAAGTAAAGATAAAGTGTTATCGGCTCTGTGCTCGTATCACGACAGATAAGTCCCGCGTGGCAGCACACAAGTTGATACAGTCAGGGCGCGATTTTGTTTTATGGTTGCTCTTGAGGGCTCTTGTTGCTTTTTTTTCCTACATTGAAGAATTACTTATCAGCTACTGTTTCATAATCGATCAGCTATTATCCTTGACACTCTTATCGCTGTCTTTAAGGCAAACTGCTCACCCGATGTCTGAAGACACCATGGTGGTTAATCAAGTGCGCATGCCGACGAATGTTTCGCTATTGTACAAAGCAAACGATGGCGAGATACGGAAGTATATGCGAGATAGAGA